GAACTTTGTCCACATAGGGGCAGCCATCTTGTGTGTTGGAGTGACAATCAATTTGCATATTACTCTTTACAGATGAGGGTAGGGATTCCCTTGGGATATGGGGTGGCCTGGGCAAGGGACCTGTGGTGGTTTGCAGGCTGGCGACACCCCCCAGTGACCCAAGTGGAGGCCCTGGTATTTGGGATTTATTTATCTTCTATAATTTAAACTTTGTAACCTGGAGCGGAGCCAAGCCTCCTGCTTGCTCCATGACCTCAGCCATTTTTGTTGGGATTTATTTACTTTCTATAATTGAAACTTTGTAGCCTGGACCCACCAGGGTGTGTGGAAAGCTTGGCTTCCTCCATTGCCAGGGAAACCCAAGCCTCCTGCTCTCTGTGGCTACAGCCATCTTGGTTGGGTTTAATTTGCGGGTTGGCTGGTAGGCGTGGCTTGTGGGTGTAGCAGAGTGATGGTTAAGTTGCATAGATAGGATTTTCTTGCTGTTGCCATGCTTCCCATCTATCGAATTATGGTTGTCTTATTAACAATTTGCCTTGACTTACCTTGAGTTTGTTCTTTTGTATATGCTTAGTTGAAAGCTTTAATTTTCAGGCATTTTCCTCATAAATTCATATAAGGCTATATATTTGCCTTTGAGTGCTTCTTTGGCTGCTTACTTCACTTATATTGTGATCCTCCTCCCCTCCTAAAAGCAGTTGACTTTCTATCTCTGTGTACACCTTTGGTTGCATTGCACTGGTTTTTATTGGCAGCCGTCTCCTCACTCAATTCTAAATCCTTTCTAGCTTACATAACTTACCTATAACTCATTATTTGTTCTAATACTTCCAATTATGTGGATTCCAGGAGCCAGATGTCACTGATTTATAATTTTACTAGAGGCTGATTCAAGAAATTCACGCAAGGGGCTCACCCTGAGCCCCGGCTGCCTCACAGTCCTGCCCACTGGTCATTCCGCTGTCCAGTCTAATTAGCATATTGGCTCTTTATTATATAGGATTGCATTGTGGCTAGTAAGTCTGACTGTCGAGTTTCCCTTTATGACCTAATACATGCTCTGTTTTCCATGATAGCTCTGTGTTTGGGCAGAATGTACTTCTTTATTTGTTGGGCGTAAAGACCTGTACGTGTGTTTGATCACGTTTGCTATCACATTATTCATCAAGATCTTTATTTTGAGGACTTGATCTCTCTGTTCCTGAGTTAGGTTCAGTCTCTAGCACCGCTGTGATTCTTCCCATTCCTCCTTGTGGGTGTTTTTGCTTTAAACATTTTTAATTGTTGTTGCTAGAGATAAAGTGTGTACTCAGGGCATTTGCACTTAACAGGAGCTGTGGCTCCTGCCAGATCCATGGCGATGGGAGGCAGGCTCCATCCTTCCCAGCCGGGGGCTGTGGTGTGTGGCTGATACTGACCATGGGCAGGCAGAGCTCATCGATGCCTGGAACTCCTTCACTGTGACCCCGGGAAATGGGCAAACCTGGGCCACGTCCAATTCTACTACTTACCATCTGACCTCTTAGCGCCTGTTTTCTGATCTGTCCATTATCAGAAGGATTTGGCAAGTATGCAGTAAGTGCTCAATAAATGGGGGTGCAGGTTATGGTATCCTGTGGCAGGGCCAAGATATCTGGGGACACTTAGTGTCTTGGTGGTCATGCCTGAGGTTAAGACAATTCCTAACGGTCCTCCTCTTCCAGGAAGCCCTCAGATAAATCCCTGCCTGCCACCACCTATCGCTTCGAACTACAGCCACAAGCATCTCAAGGGCTGAACCACAGAACTGAGAGCCACACATATTAGTTTTCCCTGAAGACCCTCTTCATCCAGTTTCCAGTAAGGAGGGCAAGGTAGATCCTATTTAGACACTTCAGAGTCGTGGGCTGGGGAGACCAGAGGGGCTTTTAGAATGGGCTTTGAGGACCGAGTGAGACTTATCTGGGCAGAGTAATCATTTTAGAAGATTCAGCTGGGACAGTGGTTGGCAAACCGCGGCTCGCGAGCCACATGCGGCTCTTTGGCCCCCTGAGTGTGGCTCTTCCACAAAACACCACGGCCTGGGCGAGTCTATTTTTGAAGAAGTAGCGTTAGAAGAAATTTAACTTTAAAAAATGTGGCCCTCAAAAGAAATTTCAATCGTTGTTCTGTTGATATTTGGCTCTGTTAACTAATGAGTGTGCTGACCACTGGGCTAGGATCAAACTCTTAGGTAAGAGACTGACGTTTCTCTCCATTTTGTCCCACAATCTGTCACTAAGAAGAGGATCCCTCTCCTTACTGACTTCAGAAGTCAGGAGCTAAATGTCTTTTTAAATACAAAAGTACCTCAAGAAATTCCCAGTTAATTTCACTTTCACTTTTATTTTTTTATTAGGATTACTCTCTAGTTATTTGAATTGAAAGCTTTTATTAGGATTACTCTCTAGTTATTTGAATTGAAAGCTTGGAACATTTGGTTTTTAAGTCCACCAAGTTTCTGAATTTACTGTTTTCTGAACCATGAGTTCAAGGCTATGCATTTTCCTCTGGGCACCTCTTTGGCTGCAATACAAAAGTTTCATTACATAATACCAGTACTTCTTCATATTTTCTTTAAACCCATGAGTTAGAAATGTTTTAAAATTTCCCACATTATGCCTTTTGGGGGAGGCAGGCTTTATCATTTACATAATCTACTCCTTGGTGCCAAGATCAGGTTATTTTCTCTAATATTTGTTTCTTAGAATTTGTAAAGATGTCACTGCTGCCTGGCCAGGTGGCTCAGTGGTTGGAGCACTGTTCAGTGCATTGAAAGGCTGCAGGTTTGGATTCCCGGTGAGGGCACGGGCCCAGGTTGTGGGTTCGATCCCCTGTCAGGGTGCATGCAGAAGGCAGCCAATTGTTCTCTCTCTCTCTCACACTGATATGTCTCTCTCCCTCTCTCTCTCAAAATCAATCAAAACATGTCCTTGGGTAAGGATAAAAAAAAAAAAAGTGCACTGTTGGTCTTTCTAAATGCTGATTTTTCATAGATGGTCCATGAATATTTGATAATTTGGGGAATATAAAACTTGATCAACCTACTTGATATGTTTACGAATGGTGTAGTCACAGCTTTTATATGTTTTTGAATACTGGACCTGATAGTTTCTAAAAGGGATGACCCCACCCTTTCCTACCTAATCTGGACCCGTCCTCCCTGAGACCACCCTTCTCATCCCTGGAGCCTGTGTGTGGCCACCATGCCGCTGAGCGACTGATGGGCAGGGAGTCAGGGAGCGTATACAGCGCCGACACACCGGGCGAAGGCCTGTCTCCCTCCGGCTTCTAGTCAAGGTGTAGACAGGAAACGGCTCCCCCTATATCTCCGGGGCCTTTCCCTGGCTCTGAGTGCGGGCCCACACGCTGGCTAAGAACAGTGCTCTGAACCCACCGCTGTCTCCCGTGGGCTCAGCTCCAGCACTGGCCCTTCTGCGAAGGCAGGGTGTCTGTGGGTGAGACCAGACCGGAACCCCAGCTCCAGCTTCTGTGTGTGTGACTTTGGGCTAGGGCCTGCCCCTCTCCGCACCTCAGTTTCCCCATCTGCAAACTGCGCTGATGATGCCCATCTCAGAGCACTGGCTCCCGGCAGGTGCTCACGGGTAGTCACACTGTCATCAACTAGAATAACTATCACCAAGGAGATGGCCTCTGAAAGACCAGAACTTGGGTTCTAGGTTCAAACCCCAGCCCCTCACACACTGTGTCATCTTGGACCAGCCATGCCACCCCTCTGCGCCCCGCCCCTCGTTGGACCGTCACCGACGGCAGGAGAATACGGCTTTCCCAGGACACGATGGAGACAGACGGGCACGACAGAGATGCCGCCCACGGCCAGGTTCAGACGATCTTCCTTTAATACAAAGTCGATATATCTACATACACAGAGGTGGGAAAGCCACCCAGCTGCTTCCGTTTGGATAAACAGTGTCGAGAGCGACGGCAGGTCTGCTCCTGTACAAAGAGGAAAGCTCGCTTGCTCGGGGGTGGGGGTGCCGTCCTTCCTGCTTTTGCCCCGGAACTGCCCCAGGTCCCGGGTTCGGGAAGGCCCCCCCGAGGGCGGCACGCAGCCTCTCTGGCCCCAAAAGGGAGCGTCTCCCGTTTGGTTCGTCCTTCCTCCTCGGGGGCGAGGGGTGGAGGTTCGGGCTGCAGGGCCCATCCCTCCACGCCCACCCTCAGAACTGTCCTTGATATGTCTGAGAATCATTAAAAAAAAGAGAGAAAAAAAAAGGAAAAAAGAAACCAGGAGCCAAAGGGCGTCCTATCGGTGAGGGAGGCGGGCTCCTGAGGGCAGGAAAAGGAAGCAGCCGGCCACGGGCCAGCCGCCACACAAGACCCTTTCCTACCGTGAAAAAACAGACGGCGAAGAGAACAGGAATAAGCGATGCTTTTTAAGTTCATCGACGGCAAGTCACTGTTTTTTTTTTTTTGTTTTTTTTTGTATATTTTTTTTTCAGTTTGTTTCTTCTTTAAAAAAAAAAAAAAAAACCGGGGGAAAAATACGTTATTAAAAAAAAGGGAAATGTCGCCGAGAGTTAACGGAGAAAAGAAAGCTGACCTCTGCCCTCCCCGCCCAGCCAGCGGCCCACCCCCGAGTGCAGGCTGTGGCGGGGGGGAAGGGGGGGACACAGAGGGGGGACGAGGGGTCAAGTTCATGGCCCCCATCCTCCTCTAGTTCTGGGGAGAACACCCCCATTTGCTCACCACCCCCCACCCCCCACCCCGGAACTGCTCATTTTGGAACTGGAAGGAAACGAGGAATGTGGCAAGTATTTGAAGGCGGCGGCCGGGCCAGGGAGGCTGCTGGGGGCCGCGTGGGGGGCTCAAGGGCCGCGTCGTTCCCAGAGACCGTGTAGAAAGGCCGCCGCCGCCGCCGCCGCCGCCGCCGCCGCCGGGGTCCGGGCCTCCCGGCCCCCGCCTCGCGCCCCGGCGGGCAGAGGCGTCTGGAGCCGGTGGAGTCAGGCCGGGCGACCATGGCTTTAGGTTGCATAGTGGTCAAAGCTTCCCAGGTACTCCAGGGCGGCCTGGTAGCAGAACTGGTACTCGTCCTGCCGGAGGGAACGGGACTCAGGTGGGGCTCCTCGGGGCCCGCCGCCCCCTCCTCAGCCTGGCGTGGGTCCCTCTGGCGTGTGCCTTGTGCGCGCGGACTCTACCCCGAACGCCCCCCCTCGCTCTGCCAGCAGGTCATGCGCATCTGTTAAAACGTGGCTGCTCACCTGCCCCTTCAGGCTGGGCTCTGTGGCCCCAAGAAGCGTTGGGGACTTTGTTAAAATGCCCGGCGTGAATGCAACCGCAGGGAAGACCTCCCCGCTCTGGGCCTGTTTCCCCCTCCGGGGAGTGTGGGCTGTTGGAATCCGTGGCCTGTCCCGGGCCGTGGCTGGGCCCTACACTCGCTGGGCTCCGGGACGAGAGCGGCCCCCTCTGTCCACGCCACTTCCTGGCTCTGGACTTGAACCTGCTCTGGTGCCGGGAGCGGACTAGTCCCCTCCAGCCCGAAGCGGGAGCAGCGAGGACCCCCCTCACGAGCCCGCCTCCCAGGGGGGCCCCGGGGCCCGGAGACAGCTCCGCCCGGCAGGCAGGGCGTCTCCCCGGTCCGCCTCACCTCCGTCTGCACCATGGCCGGCCGCTGGGTCCGCAGCATCTTCACCGTCTGGAAGATGTCGACCACCCCCTCGTACCGCATCCGCTCCAGCACGATGCTGAGCGTGATGAACACGCCGGTCCGGCCCACGCCGGCGCTGCGGGGAGAGGGCGGCTCAGGCGGGGCTCCGATGGGACCCCCGAGGCGGACGGTTACCCTCCGGGGCCCGGCTCCCCGGCGTGAACACAGCTCCGATGGGACGCCCGAGGCGGACGGTTACCCTCCGGGGCCCCCGGCTCCCCGGCGTGAACAGCTCCGATGGGACCCCCGAGGCGGACGGTTACCCTCCGGGGCCCCCGGCTCCCCGGCGTGAACAGCTCCGATGGGACTCCCGAGGCGGACGGTTACCCTCCGGGGCCCCCGGCTCCCCGGCGTGAACAGCTCCGATGGGACCCCCGAGGCGGACGGTTACCCTCCGGGGCCCGGCTCCCCGGCGTGAACACAGCTCCGATGGGACCCCCGAGGCGGACGGTTACCCTCCGGGGCCCCCGGCTCCCCGGCGTGAACAGCTCCGATGGGACCCCCGAGGCGGACGGTTACCCTCCGGGGCCCCCGGCTTCCCGGCGTGAACACAGCTCCAATGGGCCCCCCCTAGGTGGCCGGAGAAGGCCGGGCCCGGGGGGCACGCACCTGCAGTGGACGGAGATGGGGCCGTCCTGCCCGAACTGCTCCTTGGTCTTGTGCACCTGGCCGATGAAGTCGATGAAGCCCTCCCCGGACTTGGGCACGCCCTGCTCCGGCCAGTCCGTGAACTGGAACTGCCGGACGGTCCGGGACTGGCCGTCCTGGGAGGGAGAAGAGCCCGGTCTCGCCGTTGAGGCGCGTGGCGGCTCGGCCGTTTCCCGTCCCGTCCCCGTCCTCCCTCCCGCCCGCCCCGAGGACAATCGGCCGCCTGTTGCTGAACTGCTCCGGTCTCATGGCCAGCACCTCCTTCCTCCACATTTTCTAGGTCGGCACCCACCGACGCCAGCTCCCGGAGACACTCACCAGGCTGCCCCGCCCCACCACCCACCAACACCAGCTCCCGGAGACACTCACCAGGCTGCCCCGCACCGCTGCGCCTCCCCCCACATCACCCTCTTCCCCCAAGGCCAGAGCGACACCGGCACCTCCGTGCCTGGCCATGCCCCTCCTGCACCGCCCCTCCCGCCCATCTCCACGTCCGGGGCCTCCTGCGCGGCTCCGAGCACCATCGCCTTCCATCCTTCACCACCCGGCAGTGCCCCCTCCCCGTCCGCCGTCCCCCCCTCGCCGCCCCCCGAGGGCAGCAGCCCCTCCCTTATCTGCGGTTCCGGTCCCCACGCGTTCAGTTACCCACAGTCAACTAGGGCCCACAACAGGAATGGTTCGTTTCTGGAACTTCCCATTTAGTCCGTGTTAAATGGCGTGACGTGCAGGAGTGTGCTGAGACCTTGCAGCCGTGCTGCCTGCCCCGCCTGCCCGGAGGAGGCAGTCCTGTGCCGGAGTGTGGGCACTGTGCACGCTGCCGCCGCCCCGTCACCGGGCCACGGCACCGCGAGCCCACGCTCCGGGGCCGCTCCACTGCCTGCGGCCCCGCAGCCATGCCCAGCGTCTGCTGCGGCATCTTTTCTGGCCGTTCTGTGGCCCCCTGGGGGCTGTGAGCTGCTGCTGCTGCCTCTCGCTGGGCCGGATTTGTAAGTGAGACGCTGTGACTGTACGAATGTACGGGAACCGCAGTCTGTCCAGGGCGCGGACCGTCCGCAGGTCCAGGCTTCCATGGTGGCCTCGGAGCACGGCCCCCACCCCGCAGGTAAGCGGGGACCCTGTGCTCGCCACCTCTATCCCTGAGAGCGCCACCAACTCCTCCCCTCCCACCCACTGGCAACCGAACCGACCATCAATGCTGTCCCCTTCCACTGACCCTCCTCCCCCATCACCCTTCCCTCCACCGGCCTTCCCACACCCAGCAGCGCCGTCACTGCCATCCTCCATCCTCCACGGCCCCACGGCACCATTTCCCACAGCCCCTCATCCATCTGGGCTCACCCTGGAGGGGCCCCACCTTCCCCTGACCCCCCCCTCACCGCCTCGCCTGCCACCGGCTCCCTCCAGCCCACCCTCCTCCGCCTGCACCGCGCCCAGCGCTGTCCCTGCCACTGAACACGCATCCCTCTCGACTTTTAGCGCCATTCCCGTCGACTTTCTTCATCATCATCACCCCTTCCTCCCCCCCCAGCTGTTCTCCAATCTCCCTCCGCCCCCTGCCGATATAACACATCCCTCTCGGGCCAGGCTCTCCATCCCGTTACCACACGCTCCACCCTCCCGTCCCCCTCTGCCCAGCACGTCCTCCCCGCCCGACAGGACAGCCTTCCACCGACTCCAACCGCACCCCACCGGCCCACCGGCCCCATCTTACACCAGCAGCACCGGCAGCACCACGACCCAGGACGCTGCGCCTTCCATCCGGCTTCCCCACCCCCCCCCCACCCCCGCCAACACCCCCCCTGCCTGTAGTGTCTCCCCACCAGGTGGTGCCAACCCCCAGCACCGAGTCCCGTGTTCCCCACCCTTTTCCTTCCACAGCACCAGCTGTGTCCGACCTCCACCGGCTCTCAGCCCCTACCTCTCCCCACACCCCTCGCTCCCTTTCACGTGACCCCTTGGGCCGTGTTCCCCAGCGAGGGGCTCACACATGCTCAGGTGGGGACACTGTGGGGTCAGCACAGGGGCACGGTCCTCCTCCGCCCCCTTTCCTCCCACCCCTCCGTGCTTATTCCTGTCCCCGGGCCTGGGCTTCTACCCGCGCTGGGGAGCCGTCTCCAGACCGCCAGGGCAGCAGGGAGCTCAGCCGGGGCTCCAGAACCTGCTGCCAAGGCGCCCCACACTCACCCGGGCGTCCGTGACCTTGAACTCCCGCAGGATGTACTGGGGCATGTTGTACTCTGCCATCGGATCCACCACGAAGTACTGGTAGCGGGCGGAGCGCTCGGCCGGCCAGTACTGGTGACACTTTTCCTGTGGAGGGGAGGGCAGCCGAGGTCAGCCCTGTCCGGGCCTGCCGGGCCCCCCGCGCCCCGCCCTGCCCCCCGCGCCCGGCGCACCCGGCCCATCTCCCGCAGCTTGGTGAGCATCACCACGATGGTGGAGTTGTCTTCCCACAGCATGCGCCAGAAGTCCTCCGTGGTCTCCGCCAGCGGCCCCTGCGTGGCGATGTAGGCCTTCTGCTGCCTGCGGGGTTGGGCGTGTGAGTCCAGGCTGACGGGGACCCCAGCCGAGGCCGGGCACCGGCTCGAGGCTGCCCGATGGGTCAGGAGCAAAGCAGGACCCCGGCAGCCGCCCCGCCACGTGCCCGCCCCCTTGGGAGCGGCGGGCCGTGGACGCCTCCCTGGCGAACTGGGCCCTCCCGGCCACCCCGTCTGCCCTCGGGGAGGCCACCGGCCTCAGGACGCACGCCAGCTCGCAGAGCTGCCCGCTGGCCCCTCTGCCCGCCCGCGCCCCCTCCCTCAAGTGGCAAACTACGTGGGTTGTCTGCCCAGGACACAGCCTCTCTCCCAGCCAGGCCTTGGCAGAGCTGGTACCTTCTGCCCAGACCTGTGGTTGGCAAACTGCAGCTTGAGAGCCACATGTGGCTCTCTGGCCCCTTGAGTGTGGCTCTCCCACAGAACACCATGGCCTGGGCGAGTCTATGTTAAAGAAGCGGCAATAGGAGAAGTTGAAGTTTTAAAAATTTGGCTCTCAAATGAAATTTCAATTGTTATACTGTCGGTATTTGGGTCTGTGGACTAAGGAGTTTGCCGGCCACTGGCCTGGACAACCTCCCGTGGCCACCGTTTCGTCAGCAGGACTGACCTTTGAGGCCGGCTCACTCTGACGGGCACTGTCCTGGGCAAAATCCCTGGCCTCCACCCACCAAATGCCAGTAGTAGCCACCTCTCTCCTCCACACATACTCAAATCACAACCATCAAAAACATTCTTAGCCCAGCCCGTGCGGCTCAGTGGCTGAACGTCAACCTATGACCCAGGCGGTCAGGGTTCGACTCCTGGTCAGGGCACATGCCCAGGTTGCAGTTGTGGGCTCCACCACGATCAGGGAATTGTAGGGGGCAGCCAATCAGTGATTCTCATCATCGACGTTTCTATTTCTCTCCCCCTCTCTCTTCCTCTCCAAAATCAATAAGAGTATATATGTTGCCGAAACCGGTTTGGCTCAGTGGTAGAGCGTCGGTCTGCGGACTGAAAGGTCCCCGGTTCGATTCCGGTCAAGGGCATGTACCTTGGTTGCAGGCACATCCCCAGTAGGGGGTGTGCAAGAGGCAGCTGGTCAATGTTTCTCTCTCATCAATGTTTCTAGCTCTCTCTCTCTCTCTCCCGTCCTCTCTGTAAAAAACCAATAAAATATATTTAAAAAAAAAAAAAAGAATATATATGTTTTTAAAATTTTGCTGAATTTCCCCCGGGGGACGGAATCATGCAGACAGAGCCATGGGTGCAGAAGGAAAGACGGACCCATTGTGAACGGCAGCTCTCAGCTCACAGCCCGGACGGTGCCCTCCCTCTGCCTCCCTGTGCCTGGCAACTGACCCCCAAGCGAGAATGTAGGCCCCTCAGGGCCGGGGCCGGGACCCTCCGGGGCCGGGGATCCCAGGCCGAGGAGTACCTGTAGCCGTCGATGAAGCTGGCGTTGATGTAGTCGGAGCCCTCCACGCCCCGGATGGGCTGCAGGCAGACTCGCGTGCTCTCGTAGGGCATGATGTTGACCAGGCGGTTCTTGAACTTGTTACAAGGCAGATTGGCACTGATGAAGCGGGACGTGTGGGCTTTGGAGTTGGCCAGCCGCTGGGGGGCGAGAGGCAGGGCTGCCGTCAGCACAGCCCGGCCAGAGCCCCGAGGGACCACAGTGGCAGGGACCACCCGCCCACATCCCCCCACCCCTCCCGCCCCATCGCCCGCCCACATCCCCCCACTCCCCCTGCCGCCCCATCGCCCGCCCACATCCCCCCACCCCCCCCCCCTCCCGCCCCATCGCCCACCCACATCCCCCCACCCACATCCCCCTCCCGCCCCATCGCCCGCCCACATCCCCCCACCCACCCCCTCTTCCCGCCCCATCGCCCACCCACATCCCCCCACCCACATCCCCCTCCCGCCCCATCGCCCGCCCACATCCCCCCACCCACCCCCCCTCCCGCCCCATCGCCGGGGGCGATGTCAGCCTCGCCCCTCGGCCCCCCGCCCGCCCCGCAGCCCCGCCCCCACCTTGAACTCGAGCTCCATGCCGGTGACGTGCTCGCCGGGCTCCACCTGGGCCAGCTTCTGGATGTAGGCGTAGAGGCTGCGGGCGGGCACCTCGGTGTTGCCGCAGCCCACAGCCTCCAGCAGCGCCTCGTGGATGAAGCTGTACTGGTCCTCCGTCTGCACCATGTAGTTGCGCTGGGACCGCATGAGCGTCACGTGGCCGTACACGTCCACCGTCTTCTCCGGCTTGATGCGCTCCAGCATGGCGTCGATGACGATGAAGCAGCCCGTGCGGCCCACCCCGGCGCTGCGGGGACAGGGGCAGGGGCCTCAGGGGGGCGGGGGGCGGGGAGAGGGGGACAGGGGCCTCAGGGGGGCGGGGGGCGGGGAGAGGGGGACAGGGGCCTCAGGGGCCGGGGGGCGGGGGCGCGGGGGGGAGGGGGCCGCCTACCTGCAGTGGACCACCACGGGGCCGGCGTCCGGGGGGTTGCAGGTCTTGACTCTCCGCAGGAAAGCCAGGAAGGGGGTGGGGTACTCGGGCACCCCGTGGTCCGGCCACGCCGTGAACTGGAACTGGCGGACTTCCCGCTTCTCGCTGGAGCCGTTCTGGGAGCCACAGGGACACGCCCGTCACCGCAGCCCACCACCCACACGCAGAGGGCGCCCAACGCACGCCTCCGACCCCTGCGCCCATGGCCGGCACAGAGGGGTCCCCGCACCGGGGCCAACACCGTGTCCCCACCCTCTCCCTCACCTGCTCATACCGGCCAACACGATCACGGCCTTCAGAGTCTATCCCAGGCCCGCCCATGTCTCGCCCCCCATGGCAGTCACCACGGTCCTCCACATCATCGCCCTGGCCCCTCCAGTCTGCCGGTGCCACCCCCATGAAGCCAGGGGGCGCCTGTGAGCATGAGTCAGGTCCCGTGCCTACTGTGCCCACCGTCCTGGCGGGCTCCCACCTCCCTTGGGGTAAAAGCCCAAGTCCTCCCCATGGCCCATAGGCCCTGCACAGCCCTCTCCGTCCTCTCCCTGTCCTCAGCTCCTCTCTCTCCCCACACTGTTCACTCAGCCCCAGTCACGTGGCCTTCGCACTGCTCTCCCAGTACGCCAGACACAGTCCTGCCCCAGGGCCTTTGCACGTGCTGTGCCCTCTGCCTGGAGTGCTATTTCCCCACAGCTCACGACTCCCTTCCTCCAGGCCCCCCAGTTCACAGTCTATCCCTTTCCTCCGCTTTGTCGTCATCCTACATGTGAGATTTCCTGTCGTGTTTGGACCTTGGTCTCAGAGGGGTTTTTGTGAACTTGACCTCCCGTCCCCCAAAGGCAAGAGAAATAAAAGAAAAAAATAAATGAATGGGACTGCGCCACGCTAAAAAGCTTCTGCACAGCAAGAGAAACCGTCAACAAAACAAAAAGGCAACCAACTAAATGGGAGAACATATTTGCAAGTGGTATTCCAATACAGGGCTAATATCCAAAATATATAAAGACTTCAGACAACTCCACAACCAAAACACCATCTGATTAAAACACGGGCAGGGGACCTGAACCATTTTCCAAGACATTCAGATGCTCAACTTCACTAGCAGCCAGGGAAATGTAAATCAAAACCACAAAGGGGTACCACCTCACACCTGTCAAAATGGCTGTTCCCAACAAGACGAGTAATAATAACCAGTGCTGGAGAGGTTGTGGAGAAAAGAGAACCCTCACTCACAGCTGGTGGGAACGTAAACGGGCACAGCCACTATGGAACACAGTATGGAGGTTCCCCCCAAAATTAACAGTAACCCCGATGGCCCAGCAATCCCTCTCCGGGATCCACCTGAAAGACTCGAAAGCGCACACACAGATCTATGGACCCTGATGTTCCCTGCAACCTTATCCATGGCGGCCAAGACACGGAAACAGCCCACGTGCCCTTCACAGGAGAGCGGGGCAAGAGGATGTGGTCCAAATACACAACGGATGCTCCTCAGCCAAATGCAGAGACAAAACACGGCCAGTGCTGACCACGTGACCGGACCCTGAGAACATGCTGCTGCGTGAAGCCAGACGGAAAAGAACAGGAAGCAACACAGGAACACACTTGTACGTACAGACAACAGACTGGTGGTTACCAGAGGGGAAAAGGGGGCGGGGGAGGGGGGAGGACGAGGATAAAGGGGGTCAAATACACAGCGACTGGCAGAGACTGGACTCGGGCGGTGAGCACGCCCTGGAGTACAGAGATGTCACATTCCCAGGACAGACACCCTACGCGTGTTATCGACCCATGCCAATACGTTTAATCAAAGGGGATTCATCATTGGCATTTCTTTCATCTGTGTCTTGTCCACTAGACCCGTGGTGGGCAAACTGTGGCTCTTTGGCCCCTTGAGGGTGGCTCTTTCACAAAATGCCACGGCCTGAGCGAGTCTATGTTGAAGAAGAGGCGTTAGAAGTTGAAGTTTAAAAATTGTGGCTCTTGAAAGAAATTTCAAACGTTGTACTGTTGATATTTGGCTCTGTTGCCTAATGAGTTTGCCGGCCACTGGCCTAGACTAAGCCCCACGAGGCCAGGATATTCCATCTTTCTTTGTCCCTGCTGTGTCCTGGTGCTGGCTCAGGGCCTGACACACAGCACGTGCTGGACGTTGTGTGAAGGAGCTAAGCATCCTTACTGCCTCCTCCTGCCCATCCACTCAGCTTCCTGATGCATGGGCCAGGCTGTGCTTCGTGCCAAGAGGGGACCTGACTGAGGCATCTCCTCTCCCCGCTGGGTTGCATACGGATGCCGTGGAGACCACGGCAGGACAGGTGGACCCTCACTATGGAGAGCAGCCTTCAGCTAAATGCTTACCCGAAGGTGACCTTCGGCCCAGCCCTGACCACCCACAGCCTGCGGGCTCCCTCCTGCTCTGTTCCACCCAAGACTTACACTCCCTTAGGGCAGGGCTCGGCCTCTGCCAGAACTGGTCTGAGGCCCAGGAGGATAACAGATTCACTGCTCAGCGGGGCTCTGCTGGTTCTGTTCTCTCGCTGTGGCCAGGGACACGCGGTGCCCCACCCCGAGCCTCAGTTTCCCCATCCATTGGGCTTCATGAGAATGTGGTCAGCCTGGGTCAATGCCTGGCTCTCTCTGCCTGAGGGGGAGCCTCCACGGCAGAAGCTGGGCCCATCTTCCTCCTCTGCCTCCCCGCCCTCCCTTGTCCCCCCTCAGCCTCTGGCCCGGCCGGGCCTGGCCCACCTTGTGCAGGGAGAAGGTCCGCACGCAGAACGTGGCCAGCTCGATGGTGTCCAGCAGCGTCACCTGGATGAAGCCGTAGGTCTCCGTGCCCCTGTTGGGCCAGTACTGGTCACATTTGATCTGTGCCAGAAAGAAGGACGGAGGTGCGTGTGAGCCTGGGCTGGCCGGGGACTCGGGGTCGGGGGAGGGAGGGAGGGCAGGTCCGGGCCTCACCCGCGATTTCTCCTCCAGCCGGGTCATCATGACGATGGTGGCCGAGCGCTGCTCCCACACCATGCGCCAGAAGTCCCCGAAGGTCTCGGGCAGCGGCCCCTGCGTGGCGATGTACGCGTTCTGCCGGCGGTAGCCGTCCACGTAGTTGGCGTTGATGTAATCGCTGCCCACAATGCCTGCGGCCCGGGCGAGACGCCGAGGTCAGTGGGGGCGCCCCTTCCTTCCAGGCCGGCTTCATGAGCCCAACGGGAAGCCCCCTCGGAGCGCCCCGACCTGTCCCCCAGGAATCGTGGGCATAGACGGTAGGATCCCACCTCAGCGCTGCGGCCACGGGGGCCGGATCGTGCACTGCGGGGCCGTCCTGGGCACGGCAGGGGTGGCGCACGTCCCTGGCCCCCCTCCAGCTGTCACTAGCAACCCCTCCTCCACCCGGGGACCCAGACCCTGCCCTACGTCCGTGGGTGGCACAACGGCTCCAGCTGAGAGCCAGGAATGCAGAGAGGCCAGTGGAAACACGTAAGGGATAGCGACCATCACTTAAACACACATCTAGCAATTCCAGTGGTTCCTGGCGCTGGACCAGGCCTGAGCCCAGAGCCAGCCTCTCCCATCCGACCCCTGGCTCGTCCATGCTGCCGGCCCGTCGCTTGGAGGCGGAGCGGGCTGCGGGCACTCGGGAAGGAGGAGGGCAGGGTGGCCGGGCCCGGTGCTACCTTCGATGGGCTGGAGGATGACGCGGGAGTGGTCGTAGGCGATGACGTTGGCGTAGCGGTTCTTGGGCTTGTTCACTTCCAGGTTGGAATGCTCCCACGTGAACTGCTGGCCCGGGTCAATGGACTGCGGGGAAGGGGAGGTGGGGTGTCAGGGCCATCGGAGGGCTGGGGCGGGGGAGGGGGGAGTCTGGGGAAGGGCTCAGCTCACCTCGTACTCCTGGGAGAGCTTGAGGCTGTCATTGGCCTTGAGGCGCTCCGTGTGCTCCGCCATGTCTGAGATGGGGATCGGCGGGTGGCTAAGCATGCCTGCGGGGAGAGCAGACCCCGCGGTGCGGGCCGGTCAGGGGGCCAGCCCGAGCCGGCGGGTGGGGGAGCTCTATAGTGTGAGTCTGCGATGGACGAGCTGTGGTTAGAGGGCCTGGCAGGTGCGGGGACCCTGGCCCGATGGTCTGAGATGGAGCAGCAGGGGCTGCAGCCCCGGCCACGCCCGGCACCCCTGCTCACACGTCCTCCCACCTTGTCCCCACCCAGCCGGGGGAGGGGCGCCCCGGAGATTTCAAGCTCCTGGTGCCTCGTGGCAGGAAGCAGGCGGGTGACACAGAAATGGAGAAGCAGATGGCAGCTGGCTGAGCCTCCAGAAACACTGTTCCCCAGGGTGGGAGACACATTCCTTCCTGCCCCTCTGGGGTCCAAGGGCCTCCCAGTCCTCTGCCAGGAGAGCTGGGGCCTGCGGGTATGTCTCTGCCCAGCTGGGACAGACACTGCCCCTCACCCTGCAGCCGTGTCCTCATCCTGTGCACGGAGCACCCTGTGCACGGAGCACCCTGTGCACGGAGCACCCTGAGCACGGATCATCCTGTGCACGGACCACCCTGTGCACAGACCACCCTGTGCACGGATCACCCTGTGCACGGATCACCCTGTGCACGGATCACCCTGTGCACGGAGCAGCCTGTGCACGGACCATCCTGTGCACGGACCACCCTGTGCAGGGAGCACCCTGTGCACGGAGCACCCTGTGCACGGGTCATCCTGTGCACGGACCATCCTGTGCACGGAGCACCCTGTGCACGGAGCACCCTGTGCTCGGACCATCCTGTGCACGGAGCACCCTGTGCACGGAGCACCCTGTGCACGGATCATCCTGAGCACGGACCACCCTGTGCACGAAGCACCCTGTGCACGGAACACCCTGTGCACGGAACACCCTGTGCACGGATCACCCTGTGCACGGATCACCTTGTGCACGGAGCAGCCTGTGCACGGACCATCCTGTGCACGGACCATCCTGTGCAGGGAGCACCCTGTGCACGGAGCACCCTGTGCACGGAGCACCCTGTGCTCAGAGCACCCTGTGCACGGGTCATCCTGTGCACGGACCATCCTGTGCATGGAGCACCCTGTGCACGGAGCACCCTGTGCACGGAGCACCCTGTGCACGGAGCACCCTGTGCTCAGAGCACCCTGTGCACGGGTCATCCTGTGCACGGAGCACCCTGTGCACGGAACACCCTGTGCACGGAGCACCCTGTGCACGGACCATCCTGTGCACGGACCATCCTGTGCACGGAGCACCCTGTGCACGGACCACCCTGTGCACGGACCACCCTGTGCTCGGACCATCCTGTGCATGGACCACCCTGTGCACGGATCACCTTGTGCACGGAGCAGCCTGTGCACGGACCATCCTGTGCACGGACCATCCTGTGCACGGAGCACCCTGTGCACGGAGCACCCTGTGCACGGAGCACCCTGTGCTCGGAGCACCCTGTGCACGGGTCATCCTGTGCACGGAGCATCCTGTGCACGGAGCACCCTGTGCACGGAGCACCCTGTGCACGGACCATCCTGTGCACGGACCATCCTGTGCACGGAGCACCCTGTGCACGGACCACCCTGTGCACGGACCACCCTGTGCTCGGACCATCCTGTGCATGGACCACCCTGTGCACGGATCACCTTGTGCACGGAGCAGCCTGTGCACGGACCATCCTGTGCACGGACCATCCTGTGCAGGGAGCACCCTGTGCACGGAGCACCCTGTGCACGGAGCACCCTGTGCTCGGAGCACCCTGTGCACGGGTCATCCTGTGCACGGACCATCCTGTGCACGGAGCACCCTGTGCACGGAGCACCCTGTGCTCGGAGCACCCTGTGCACGAAGCACCCTGTGCACGGACCACCCTGTGCACGGATTACCCTGTGCAGGGATTACCCTGTGCACGGACCATCCTGTGCATGGATCACCCTGTGCACGGACCATCCTGTGCACGGAGCAACCTGTGCAGGGATTACCGTGTGCACAGAACATCCTGTGCACGGACCATCCTGTGCAGGGATCACCTTGTGCACGGAGCACCCTGTGCACGGAGCACCCTGTACACGGATCACCCTGTGCACGGACCATCCTGTGCACGGATCACCATGGGTCGGTGACAGCCTGATCTTCGAGCCCCTGGGGTGTGGTGGTGACTGGAGGTAGGGGGTGGGTCTGGCTCTTACTTCCTGGTATCTGGGTCTGCCAGACCAGTCTCCACGCCCGGGCCAGTGCTAGCTACGAGCTCACACACATACACTCGGCAGCTATGTGAATCGGGTCAAGTGTTACCAGGCCAGTTGGTAAACAACTGCTGTTCTGGTGGGGCCCCCGGGGGTCTCCCAGGAGCCCACCCCATGGAGTCTGAGGCTGGCGTCCCTCTGCCTGTGGCGCTCCCTGCCTGTCACCAGGGTGGGCTCCTGCTCTCCCGTATGTATGAGTCTCACCTACATCCCTGTCCCCACCTGCACACACACTCTAAGGGCACAACGGGCCGGACCCCTTTCCCCTGAAGCCAGCGCAGGGCAGCGGGCAGAGAGAGGTGGCGGGATGGAGAAACCAAAGATGAAAACAAACGAGGGGTGGGTGGGGAAGGGAGCCGAGAACAGAAAGACACAGGAACTAACTTTCAAAGTGAAACCCCGGCTCCCTGAGGGGGCTGCTGAGGCCCGAATCTGCAGAAACAGCAAACAATAAATAAATGAAAACACGCGGGGCGCGGCCTCCCCACCCCGAGCTGGGCGCACGCACACGGCTGCGACAGACGCGGGCAGAGCACGTCGCAGAGGGCCGCGTGCTGCGGCCCCACCCCAGGACCGGAGCCGCGGCTGCTCCCTCTGCCTGGTGTTTAGCCACGACTCTGGGAGGAGCCCACAGTTTTAGCTTCTTCCGTCAACGTCACCCACACCCACCTGGCCTTGGTTCCCCGTGTGGGTCACTGCGGGGCTCGGGAGAGTGCAGGATGGTGAGGGAGAACTGAGGTGGAGGAAGGACAGGGGCCGATGCCATGAACTTGGAGCGGACGTCAGCTACCAGTTAAACATGTTTAAAATCTCTATTTAGCCCCAGATGGTTTTGCTCAGTGGATAGAGCATCAAGCTGCAAACTGAGGGGTCTAGTCAAGGGCGGGTTTGATTCTAGTCAAGGGCACACGCCAGGGTTGCGGGCTCTATCCCCACTGTGGGGCATTCAGGAGACAGCCAATCAATGGTTCTCTTTCATCACTGATGTTTCCATTTCTCTATCCCTCTCCCCTTCTCTCTCAAAAACAAATTAATTAATTAATTAATTAATTAAAAAAATATATATATATATAATGTCTATTTGGTTGGAAACTGAGTCAATATGAATCAGTTCAGAAAGAGAAAGCAGATTCCAGAGTGCAGGTGGAGGGAACGAGGGAACCACGTTAAGAACAGCCACCATCAGTTACATTAAAAATCCCTTATTTGGCCGAAACCGGTTTGGCTCCGTGGATAGAGCTTCGGCCTGCAGACTGAAAGGTCCCGAGTTCGATTCCAGTCGGTGGCATGTACCTTGGTTGCGGGAACATCCCCAGTGGGGGTTGTGCAGGAGGCAGCTGATGGATGTTTCTCACTCTCTATCCCTCTCTCTTCCTCTCTGTAAAAAAAAAATCAATAAAATATATATATTTAAAAACAAAACAAAAAAACCCTTATTCGGTTAGCAGCAGCTGGCACCAGCCTGGTGAGAGGGAGGAGGCGGGCGTGCGTGGTTCTTGTCCATGAAGAGGATCACGGACGAGGCTGATTTCGTTTCCCACCAGGCGTGGCGGTGGCTTAAGCTGCACCTTATTCACCTACAGGGTACTGTTCGGAGGCAGAAGGCACACGAGCATCTGTGGCCATGGAGGGGGGATGCAGGCCACGTGGGAGGTATGATTGGTGTCTTGCTAGGGGCACATCCCAGGGAGTGGAAAAGGCCAAGTGGTCTTAAGACTAGCGGTGTGAACAGAAACACAGCTCTTTCTGCCAGAAGAAGGGAGGAGGGCTTGGCGGTTTTTACACACCCTTTACGCTCCCCCACAGAAGACAGCAAAAACCTCCTTTGGTTGTAAGCAAGTCCCACGCCTGGAACAGGTAGGAAGTCGGGTATTGGGAACTGGCTGCACCGAGCAGTGTGGAGAGGCAGGGGAGGTGGCCGCAGGCAGCTGCCTCTCCCGGGCAGGGCTGCCCCTGGCCCGGGGGGTGAGCACGTACCTGGCGTCTGGAAGTTAATGCGCCTCATTTCCACGGGGTCCTTGGGGTGGTGTGGGGCGAGGTCGGCGTTGTTCAGCAGGCATTTGGTGCGGGGCTCCGAGTCCTTGCGTTTACTTGGGAGGAGAAAGGGAAGCGTCGGTGAGTGCCAGCGTGTGTCCACAGACGCGTACACACGTGTGGACACACTCCTGGCCCTGTGTATACGCACGACTGGGGTTCCCAGGGTCGGGTGTACACACGTGTGCAACTATAGGAGCAGCCAGGCCCCCTCCCCCACCAACCCATCCCCCCTCCTCAGCCTCCTTGGGCCTCAGAGGGCAGGGCCAGTTCTTACCTGTCAGGCTTGCTGCTCCCAAAAGCAGGCGCGGGAGAGGAGGGAAAGGAGACAGGTGAGGGGGTGTGGCCACGTGGGCCTGCTCCGAACGGCAGGTGGCTTTCCTAACTGCTCTGAGCCTTCGTCTCACCCAGGAAACGGGGCTCCTCCCGGTGCCAGGCCCACCACCCTCCTGTCTACGCCAAGACAGGCCCCCGTGGCCGCGAGGAGCGCTGTCCTCATTGGACTGGACAGGCAGCCTCTGTCCCCCAGGGGACCGTGCGGCCTAGGAGGAGTCAAGCCGCTGGCCGGAGTGAGCCCCAGCCCGGACCCTCCCTGAGCCGTGTGACCGCGATCAGGCAGCGTGACCTCTGGGCTCGGTTTTCCCTTCGCTACCTCAGGGGGCTCCTGTACTGACCTTCTGAGATGACCCCCCTCTGACCCCCTCCTGCTCCAGGAACCGCCCGCTCCCCCCGCACCCCCGTCGGGGGCGTGTGGCCTCACTTCTTGTAGAGCAGGATGGCGATGACGATGCAGATGATGAAGACCACGGCCAGCACCGGCCCGATCACCCAGATGAGCCCCTCCTCGCCGTCCACGATGGGCTGGGGGTCCGGGTTGTCCAGCTGGAAGGGGTCTGAGAAGGGGCTGGCCGCGAAGGTCTGCGTGCACAGGCGGAGAGGGCCTCGTTGGCGTCCCTCCTCCTCACGCCCCGCGGCCCCTCCCGGGCTGCACACCCCCCCCCCCCCGGTGGCTCCAGAGAACGCCGCCCGGGGCCCCGCCGGCCGCTCTGAACGCCTTTCCGTGCCTCTCGCCTCCGGAGCTTTGCACGTGCAGACCCTGCGGGGCCCTTTGGGGTTGAACTCCTACACCCCCAGCCAAAGCCCCCACCCCCAAGCTCCTTCCTCTGAAACGCCTTCCTCCTGGGATTCCGCCCCTTCACGTCCTTCCCTGGGCCCCGGAAGGCAGGAGGGGGGAGGGGCGTCTGGCTCGGAGGCCAGGGAAGGCAGGAGGGGGGAGGGGCGTCTGGCTCCGAGGCAGGGCCCGGGGGCCGAGGCCATGTGGGGCGGCCTCACTCTGCAGGCGCGGCCGGGACTCACGGGCTCGCTCTTCTGCAGCACGGCGAGCACGAAGAGGACGTAGCGGTGGCCGGGCTCCAGGCCTCTGTTGTCGAAGCCGCCGTACTGCTTCTGGTCGCCGGGCTGGAAGGTGGGCGGCAGCGCCGAGAAGCGGGCGGCGATGTAGGGCCGGGGCGCCTCGAGCTGGCGCGAGTGCCGCAGGCTGCGCCTCTGCAGCCGGGCGATGTCCTGGATGAGCTGCGGGAACAGAGGCGTGGGCGGCTCAGAGCCCGCCGGGCCCGGGGGCTCAGGTCGGCCGGAACGCGTCCGCCCCCCGCAGGCGGGGCGCCGGCCCTCACCTCCTCCAGGTCCATGTCCTCCGGGCTGCCCAGCGGGGGCAGGAACTGGCCGCCACGGGCCTTGCGCAGCGGCACCATCACGATGAAGTAGCTCCTGTCAGGAGACGGAGCGTCAGAGCCGCCCTTGGGGGGGGGGTGAGTGGAGCCTCCCTTTCCGAGTCCTCCCTGCTGCTCCTGCAATGGGGTCCGCTGCCCTCCAGCCCCAGCCAGGCCGCTGATCGCACGGACCTCTGCCTGCAGAGTCTTTCCCGTGCAGCTGTATTTCTTGAATTCCTACACACCCTTCCGACGCCCCAGCTCCCAGGCCCACACAGTTTTGGAGCCCTGGGGTCCAGACTCTCCCCCGGGGCTGAGAGGCTGTGGAGAGTGGCCTCCCCCCAAATCTGGGAACCCCACACCGGGAGAAGGTCAGGCACACAGGGTGTCAGAGCAGACGCAGGCCACCGTTAGTGACGCTTCCTGTGAGAAGCCCTGGACCTTCCTGAGGGCCACACCGATGGGGCTGGCGGAACCCCCGTTATAAGCACCACCCCGGCGCGCCTCGGCTCTGGACCTCGCCTTAGCCCTGGCCGAGGAACGGGAAGGCCCAGGAAGGTCAGGGGGCTGGCTAACAGGGGCGAGGGGTCCCGGGGGCCGGCATACTGGACGGGCACGGGGCTCTGGCCGTCGGGAAGGTACACCAGGATGAATCCATCGGCGTTGGGCTTGGGGGCCACACTGGGCTTGCCGCTGAGCAGGTTGAAGGCGGTCCAGGCCGTGACCGTCTGCTGCAGGCCGCCCAGGCTGCTGCCGCGGTTGGTCAGCACGAAGTTGTAGAAGGTGTTGGGCTTGAGGTGCGTGATGAGCTTCTTGGTGGTGCGGCCGTCCACGTCCAGGGTGAGCCCGTTGTACTGGATCTGTGGGCCGGGCTGGCTTAGCAGGGTCCGGGCTGAACTCCGGCCCTGACCACACCTACATCCCAGCTGAGCCCTGACCCTAGGCAGAGCCCCAATCCTTACTGAGCCTCAATCCCAGGTTCAACTTCAACCCCGGAGGAGTTGAGACCTGATCGCAGAGTAAACCCCAGGCGGAGCCTCAGTCCCCCGTGAAGCCGAATGCCACTCAGCCCCAAGCCCAGCTGAACCCCCTCCTCCCCCAACAGGCCCTGGCTCCAGTCCTAGCCCTCGCCCTGGCCACGCTCTGAGGCCTGACCCGCCCGCGGGCTGCACCTTATAGGGGGTGGGCGAGTTGTAGTTGTCCGGGAACTCCCAGCTGAGCAGCACGGACGTCTTCATGATCATCTTCACCTTGAAGTTCTTGGGCGAGACTGCGGGGCAGCGGTGAGGCAGGAGAGAGAAGAGGAGAAGCCGGGTAAGCGCCGGGGAGGGCCGGGCGGCGGGGGGCGGCGGGGGGCGGCCCAGGCATTCCCTGTTGTCCGCTGTGCCCACGGCCTTCCTGCCTGGCCCTGGCCCTGGCCCGGCCCTGCCTGGCCCTGTCCCAGACCCTGCCGGCGGGGGAGACGGCGCGGCTGCAGAGAGAAGGCGGAGGAGGGGAGGGGCGGGGGATGGCGGTGCCGCCGAGGCACGTCCCACCTTTGCCAACGCCAGAGCCTCGGGGTCCGGACTCGCCTCGAGCCTCACGAGGAAGCAGAAAAGTGACCACTTACCTGGCGGGGGGGAGGGAGGGGGCTGGGGCGGGGGCGGGCGCGAGGCCCGGTCCGGCTCTGGTGCGGGGTCCCCGCGCGCCTACCTTGGTCCCGCAGGAACGTCCGGTAGCGGACGGGGGGGCTGTAGGGGCCGGGGCCCCGGCGCGTGTGGGCCCGCACTTGGAGGTCATAGGCCGTGTCGGGCTTGAGGCCCCGCAGCGTGAGCACGTTCTCGGCGCCCGGCTCGGCCGCCGCCGGCAGCTCAGTCTCCCGGGCGGGGCCCGGGGCGCCCGCCTCCCGGACCGCCACGGTGTACTTGACGATGGCGCCGTTGCGCTCCGCGGGCACGGGGGGCAGCCAGCGCAGCAGCACGGTGCCGGCCGAGGCGTTGCCCGCGGCCTCCAGGATCTGCGGGTGGCCGCGGGGCGTGTCCTCCGGGATGCTCAGCTCCTGCGCCGCCTCCTCGCCCAGGCCGCCGCGGCTCCGGGCCGCCAGCCGGAACACGTACGTGGCCCCCTTGTGCACGCCCGACGCCGTGTAGCGGTCCTCCGTGGGCGGGAACTCCAGCGTGGCCAGGGGCGACGCGTCCTCTCGGCCGAACTGCAGGCGGTAGCCCAGGACCTGGTCCGCGGTGGTGCCGGCGGGGGGCTCCCAGCGTGCCAGCAGGCTGCCCTCGGGGGTCTGCTGCACCGACAGGGTGGGGCGGCCCAGCACTGTGGGGACACAGGGCGGCATCAGGGACCGCCTGCCAGGCGGGGAGCACGGGGCAGGGCGGCACTTTTAAAAAGAGGGTCTCAGAGCGGCCTCACTGAGGAACAATAACTTGGAGAAGGCAAGGCAGGGCCCTGGCTGGTGTGTCTCAGTGGATAGAGCGTCAGCCTGCGGACCGAAGGGTCCCAGGTTCCATTCCCGCCAAGGGCACATGCCCAGATCCCCAGTCGGGGGCGTGCAGGAGGCAGCTTGTCAGTGTTTCTCTCTCATCACTGATGTTTTTCTCTCTCCCCCTCTCTCTCCCTTCCTCTCTGAAATCAATAAAAAATAAATAAATAAAAAAAGAAGGCAAGGCACGAGGCTGCAGGGAGGTCTAGGAGGAAGTGTTCCAGGCAGAGGGAACCACGGTGCAAAGGCCCTGAGGCAGGCCTGTGCTGGATGAGGGTGAGGAGCAGCAAGGAGAACCCAAGAAAGGAAAACGCCCACAGGCGCCACAGGGGGCCTCATCCAGGTGGCTCCTCCTTTAGCTGGGAAGTCGTACGTTTCTTGCCTTGTTCTTGCCCCTCGCTGGCACCTGATTAAAACCACGGGACACAGCAGTGCCCAGGTCCTGCACATGCCTCATGGTTTGCACAGTCTGAGTAGCAATGAATGTGCCAAAAGAGGTTTTGGGGCCAGGGGAAGCAGGGGGAAAGCTGAGCTCTGCCAAGGAAACCAAGCTTCCTCACTGCAGGCCTCATCGGGACCTTTCATGGACTGAGGGGTCACCGTGTGGGCAGTGGGTTCAGCTTAGCGAGCACAGCTCCAATGCCATGTCCCTGAGAGGAGGGCGAGACCCCAGGAGGCTCCCTGGAGGAGGTGACGTGGGCACTGGACCCTGGAGGGTACACAGACTAACCAGGCTCAGGCAACAGGGGCTGCGTCCAGCCTGGATGCCAGGCTATGGGGTCAGAGGTGTGGCACTGAGTGTCCCGGAGAGAGGAATGGGTGTGGGGCGTGGGATGGGAGGCCTGTTTCTCAAACACACTCCGAGCCTCTGCCTGGGCTGCACCCTCTGCCGGGGGCATCTCCCCCTTGCATCGTCACGGCGATGGCTCTCTCCTCACGCAGCTCAATGGTGGCTGGGGCAAAAACAGAACCTCGAGGCTGATGGGTGGCGCCAGAAGGGGAAACTGAGGCAGGGCTGCCAGGAGAGGAGGCTTCCTGGTGCAGCTGGAGGGGTGAGGACACCACCCCCAAAAGACAACCCGCCTGGGGTGATCAGAGCCACGACGGGGGAAGGACAGGGTGCTGGGGGCCCCAGAGAGGCATCGGACCAAGACTGTGGGATAGGGGTGGGGTGGGTAGGGCTCCCTGATGAGGGAGAGATGAAGCAGAGACCTAAAGGATGGGGAGGGAACAGCCGGGGAGAGAAGGGATCTGAGCAGAGGGGGCCGCTGAGTCCAGCCCGGAGGGTGAGGGTGTTCGCGGTGGCTGTTAGCTATTTGCATCCGGAGGGAGACCGGTAACTAAGGAAGAGAGTGATGATGAGGAGATGGGGTTGGGCCTTGCTGGGCCTGAGTGCCCCTTTGAGCAGCTCCCACCCTGTCTGCTCTGGCGGCCCTCCCCGCCCAGTACGCCCTTCCCCACGTGGGCTCCAGGACGCTGCAGGGACGCCAGGGGCCAAGGAGCCGTGGGGGGAGGGTCTCGTACCTGCTCCCTTGGTCACGACCACCTTGGGTTTGCTGCGCGCGCCATCGCCTTTCATAGTGTAGGCGGCCACAGTGACGGAGTAGGTGGTCTCAGGCTGCAGGTCTGTGATGACCATCTCCTGCAGGCAGGGGTGGCGTCAGTGAGGGAGGCAGGGCGAGGCCCGCCCAGTCCACCCTCCCTCCAGGGCTGGGCTCAAACAGGGTGGCTGTGGGGCCTGGTCCTCAGAACAGAGACATGCACACGACCTCATGCAGAGACCCCGACAGGGAGCAGGTCCATGCTGAGATGGCCACATGCAGCCTCCCTGGAGCAGGGAGCTGGCCCTGCAATAGGAATCAGGCTCGCGGCCCATCCCCGGAGTCTGTCCTCTCTGCAGCAGCCACCAGAGGGTGCCTGTGAGCATCGGAGTAGGTCCCATCCCTCCTCTGCCCACAGCTCTCTAGGTTTCCCCCTCCCCGCCCTTGGGGTAAAATCCTGTCTTCCCTAATTCCTACAAGGCCTTGCCATTCCTGCCATATCTCTTCCCTGCTCTCGCCTCCTCCTGTTCCCCTCACCCACTCCACTCCAGCTACAAGGACTTCCTTCCTGCCCTCCAACACGCCCGTCATCACGGTCCTGCCACAGGACCTTTGCACAGGCTCTTCCCTCTGCCTCCACTACGACCATTGGTGTGCTGGAATTTCCTATCCCAGCTCACGAGAGCCGACATTTAAATTTTCAGGAATTTTGTGAGCCAGTTAGTAAACACCGCCAATACTAAAAAGTAAGTTATGTAAACTTACAATTCAATAAAAACTTAAAAAGCACAGAGGCATTAAATACTCAATACCCTCCTCCTAGTCATTCTACTATGCTTACACTAGGCTATCCTGTCACCTGTCCCTGTGGCAGAAAACTACACAGCAGCTGACACGGTGGGACAGGTCAAGGCGGCCCCACACACCCATCGGAGAGCTGACACTTACCCCTCTGTCCACACCGTTTCTACCAGGCTGTAACGACACCCATACTCCTACCTCTCCCACTGACGTCCCTCCCCACACGGGGCCGGCCCCCAGGGAGGCAGCTCAGGGCTCTGTCTCCGCCACCGTCACTCTGCTGCCCCTCTCCCTCTGGGTCTGGCCTGCAGTAGCTCAGGAAATGACTGCCTGTTCAACAAACGCCAGCGCACCCTGGCTTGCACACACACACACCCACGAACGCCATCACACACGTGTCCACGTTCCCACACATGCACACCACAAACACGTCCAGCATGCCTGGGAGTTGAGGGGGGGTCCCCAGGTCAAGAGCATGGGAGGGGGGGCAGGGATGCATGAACAGAGGGTCTCCTGCCCCTGAGCCTCACACTTGGGCCCTCCCGGGGCCTGGGGGGAGGGGAGGCTGAACCTTCCCCATGGAGGGGAGCAGGGTGTGGCCGTTTAGTATCAGACCCAGGGCGACCGGCCCGAAGGCACACAGCACCCCAGCCTGGCTCAGGGCCTCCAGGACGCGTGGGAGGAGGGGACAGCGGCGCTGCAGGCTTCGTCCTAACCGGGCGCCTGCCCTCCTCGCTCAGGGCCAGCTGCAGTGGCCCTGGGAGTGGAGAGAGGAATTTCTAGGTCAGGAAAGCTGCGGCAGGCGACAGGGTCAGGCTGGGTTGGAAAGTGACCCAGCTCTGGCCTGGGTCCGAGGGGGGAGGCGGTGGTGAAGGAGGGGGTGGGCACTGGAGGAAAGGCGTCCTTGGCCTCAGGGAAGCCTGTGCAAAGGCTGGATGGGAGTGGTGTGTGAGTGTGTGTGCGCACGCGCGAGTGTGCGTGCCTGTGTGTATGGAGTGTGTGTGTGCGTGCATGTGAGTGTGTGCATGTGTGTGCGTGCCTGTGAGACAGTGTGAATGTGTGTATGTGAGGGTGTGTATGCATGTGCATGTGTGTGTGCATGCCTGTGTGTGTGAGCGTGTGTGTGACAGCATGAATGTGTGTGTGAGGGTGTGAGAGTGTATGTGAGTGTGTGTGTGTGTGTGTGAATATGTGTTTGTGTGTGTGAGAGAGTATGTGTTTGTGTGTGTGTGTGTGAGTTTGAGAGTATGTGTTTGTGTGTGTGTGTGTGAGTTGAGAGTATGTGTTTGTGTCTGAGAATGTGTGTGTGTGTGAGAGTTTGTGTGTGTGTGTATGTGTGTGAGTGTGAGAGTATGTTTGTGTGTGTATGAGTATGTGTTTGTGTGTGAGAGTGTGTGTGTGAGAGTATGTGTTTGTGTGTGTGTGTGAGAGTATGTTTGTGTGTGTGTGTGTGAGAGTATGTTTGTGTGTGAGTGTGTGTGTGAGAGTATATGTGTGTGTGAGCGTGTGTGTGTGTGAGAGTATGTGTGTGTGAATGTGCGTGAGTGTGTGAGTGTGTGTGTGTGTGTGAATGTGCGTGAGTGTGTGAGAGTGTGTATGAATGTGCGTGAGTGTGTGAGAGTGTGTGTGAATGTGCTTGAGTGTGAGAGTGTGTGAGAGTATGTGTTTGTGTGTGAGTGTGTGTGTGTGAGAGTATGTGTGTGTGAGTGTTTGTGTGTGTGAGAGTATGTGTTTGTGTGTGAGTGTGTGAGTGTGTGTGTGTGTGAGAGTATATGTGTGTGTGAGTGTGTGTGTGAGAGTATGTGTTTGTGTGTGAGTGTGTGTGAGAGTATGTTTGTGTGTGAGTGTGAGAGTATGTGTTTGTGTGTGAGTGTGTGTGAGAGTATGTTTGTGTGTGAGTGTGAGAGTATGTGTTTGTGTGTGAGTGTGTGAGTGTGAGAGTGTGTTTGTGTGTGTGTGTGTGAGTTGAGAGTATGTGTTTGTGTCTGAGAATGTGTGTGTGTGTGAGAGTTTGTGTGTGTGTGTATGTGTGTGAGTGTGAGAGTATGTTTGTGTGTGAGTGTGAGAGTATGTGTTTGTGTGTGAGTGTGTGAGTGTGAGAGTATGTGTTTGTGTGAGAGTGTGTGTGAGAGTATGTTTGTGTGTGAGTGTGTGTGAGTGTGAGAGTATATGTGTGTGTGAGTGTGTGTGTGAGTATGTGTGTGTGAATGTGCGTGAGTGTGTGTGTGTGAGAGAGTATGTGTTTGTGTGTATGTGTGTGAGTGTGTGAGAGTGTGTGAGAGGAGAGAGAGACTGGGATCTAAGTGTCACCAGTAAGGAGGGGATGACCTGTCGTGCCCAGGTCACTCCTCGGGGGTCCCCGCGGGCGCCCGGGCGGCTGTGCCCGCTGCCCGGTGTGAGAACAGACTGCTCGCTCCGAAAGGGGAGCTGGGGCCAGGGGAGGAGACCCTTTGACAGGGGCGTGCAGGGTGGCGGCACAGAACACAGGCGGGGCCGGGGCAGGAGCACGCCGCGGCCAGAGCACTACTCACATATTCGGCCGTGTCGTCCGTCTCCCACTGCGCGTGGGAGGAGGCGGCAGGGGAGAGAGAGGCGGTGAGCAGTGCCAGAGAAGCAGCGAGGGCAGGAGCGCGGGGGCACCCCCCCGGACCCCCCCCCCGGCCCCCGGAGCCCGGCCCACCTGGGCGTCGGCCAGCATGACGTCCTTGATGCGCGGCGGCCCGCGGGCCTCGGCGCCCTCCATGCGCACGTAGTGGACCTGGTAGCCGCGGATCTGGCCGTGCTGCCGGCCGGGCAAGGGCGAGCGCCACAGCACGCGGATGGCCGTGGCGTTGAGCGCCTCCGCCTCCACCTTCCGCGGCGGCGCGCTGGGCACTGGCGAGGGAGGGGGGAGCGGGGATGAAGGGGAGGGTGGGGGGCCGTTACTGGGGGGCCCGGCCTTGCCCCGGGCAGCTGCCCGATCCGGGGTGACACGTGGCTGCTGTTCACTGGGCGCCCTAAGCACAGCCCCAGTGCCCACGGCTGCCCCGGGGCCACCTGACAGGGGGGCACCCACGCCTCGTTCTGAGAACCACAGGCCCACCCCCATCCTCACAGCCGCATGCCACATGGGGCTCTTTTTCCATTTACAGACGAGGAACCAGAGGCCCAGAGAGTGGAGCCCGTGGCCCCAGGGTTAGGAAGAGGCAGAGCAGGTCTGCCCCCAGGCAGGGCAGCTGCCCGCTGGGCACCGAGCTCTTTCTCAGCCAGCCTCCAGCTCGGGGTGCCCACCCCCCCACACCCCCCGTGCTCCCGGCACAACGTGGGGCTGCCACCCTGACCTGCCAGGGCTGTAGCTTGGAAAGCAAACCAGGGGCTCACAGGGGCCCCGTGTCACGGGGGAAGCTCCCGCTGCATTCAGCCCCAGGCCCTCAGCCTCCACCTCACTTTGCAGCTTAAAACTTTCTACCTCGCCACGGGCCGCGGCAGGAACACACACCCGGGAGTGGACCAACGGTACAAATCTGTCTCTCTGACCCTCAAAGCTGGTGGTGAAACGTTACCAGCACACAGTCAGCCTACTCTGAGGTAGGAGGGGCCAGACCCAGGCAGCCGCAAGCCCGGGCTCATCCCAAGAGAAGTCTACACGGTAGGTTTTTGAGGGACCTCAAAAAAACAAACAAACAAACAAAAAAAAACCCCTCAGGTGCTACTTGCTGCTTCTGACACTTTGGTCCATGGTTTCTACCACGGGCCCGAGTGGCGGGGGAGCCAGCTCACTTCCCAGGCACAAGGCTCCGGGAGCCGATGGCACCCAACGGGCCGGAACAGAGAATCCCACGCCCAGGAGCTGGGTTTCTTGGGGAGAGAGCTGGCTGCGCGTCTCCCTCTGCGAACAGTGGCTTCCACCTGCCGGCCACCAGCCAGCCCGGCTTTCCCGCCGGGAGGCTCCGGGGCGGGCGGGCGGGGCCGGAGGGTCCGGGCCAGGGCGGTGCTCACCGTCCTCGTCGGTGCGGACGACCACGGGCGAGCTCTCGGGCCCCGGTCCCACCTCGGTGTGAGCGACCGTGGTGATGCGGTACTCCGTCCACTTGTCCAGTGCCTCCAGCAGGATCTGAGTGGTGGTCGGGGGGATGCCGTTCACCTCCTTGGGTTGCGGGTCCTCCGAGCCCAGCGGTCGGTAGCGGACGCTATAGCTCACCAGGGCCCCGTTGTGTGTGTCCGGCGGTGGCGGGCGCCAACTTACCAAAATGGCCGTGGAGCGTGTGCTGACACACTTAACATCTTGAGGGGGGGCAGACGGTTCTATTGGAGGAGGGGGAGAACGTGGGGGCGGGGAGGGGAGCGGGACGGGCGGGGGGGGGGGGGGAGGGGACGGGGAAACAAAAGATGGGAAAGAGAAAATAAAAAAGAAGATGATAACAAACAAAACAGGACCAAAAGCAAAGAGAAGTCGAACCCAAAAGAAGCGGGTGTCAACCAAAGGTGAGATGGTGGGTGGGGTGGGGTGGGAGGGCTGGCCAAGAACTCTGCTCTCACTGACGTGGCTCAGCCTGTCAGACACCTAGTAGGTCTTAGGCAGAGGGCCGCCACGGTCCCCGCGGAGCACACGTGCGTGCGCCAGGCACTGTGGCGAGAGGAACAGCCACAGGAGCCCCACTCACTGGGCACACACTATGTGCCAGGCACCTCGCCAAGCGGAATAGCAATAAAAGCCCCGTGCACCAAGCACCTACTGTGTGCCAGGCATGGTGCCAAGGGCTTCACAGGGTAACAGCAAAAGCATCTGTTTACGGCCTTGGCTGGGTGGCTCGGTTGGTTGGAACGTTGTTCACCGAAAAAGTTGTGGGTTTGATTCCCAGTCAGGACACACACCGAGGCTGCAGGTTCGATCCCCAGTCAGGGCGAGTGTGAGAGGCAGCCGATTGGTGCTTCTCTCTCACATGGACCAACCCACCCCTCCTTCCTCTCTAAAATCAATAAAAATGTATCCTCAGATGAGGATTTAGAAAACAACTTATTTGCTGAATCCCCATATTATACCGAGCATCATGGCAAGTGCTTCATAGAATAGTAAATGTACTTTTAAAAAATATATTTTTAAAATATTTTTTACAGAGAGGAAGGGAGAGAGACAGGAAGCCAGAAACATCGATCAGCTGCTTCCTGCACACACCCCACTGGGGATGTGCCCACAACCAAGGTACATGCCCTTGACTGGAATCGAACCCGGGACCCCTGAGTCTGCAGGCCAATGCTCTATCCACTGAGCCAAACCAGTTAAGGCAGTAAATGTACTTTTAAAAAAAAAATGTTTTTATTTCAGAGAAAGCAAAGAAGAGGGAGAGAGACAGAAACATCAGTGATGAGAATCATCGACTGACTGCCTCTTGCACATCCCCTTCCTGGGGATCCAGCCCACAATCTCCTGTGTGTCAGGCTCTGTGCTGCAGGTGTTATTGGGTAACGGTAATAGTTCCTATGAGCCCTGACTGGGAATCGAACCGTGACCTCCTGGCTCATGGGTCAATGCTAAACCATTGAGCCACACTGGCCAGGCTAAATGTACCTTTTCATCCAACACCTATTATATGCTAGATACTTTGCCAGAGGAAAAACAATAAAAGCCCCATTTTTCTGGGCACCTATTATGCGTCAGCCACCATACCAAGAGGAAAAGCAATGAAGTCCCATTTATCAGGTAACTACTATGTGCCAGGGCTTCATGGAATCACAGTAAAATGTTTATTGAACACCTACTGTGCTGCTGGGCACTGTGCTAAAAGAATAGCAAAAACTCCATTTACTGGGTACCTACTGTGTGCCAGGCGCACCACCAGGGATGGTATAACAGTAAACACATTAATTTACTGAACACCTACTATGGGTCAGAGGAACAGCAATGAAAGCCCCATTTATTAGACACCAACTGTGTGCTAGGCATCTATGGCGCTAAGAGCTTCATCAGATAACAGTAAATGCATTTATTTACTGAATACCACTGTGTGCCAGGGGATACCACTGCCAGGGAATAGCGATAAATGCCCTATTTATTGAGCACTCACAGTGTGGCAGCCACCGTGCCAAGTGGAAAAGCAATAAAAGCCCTGGCCAGTGTGGCTCAGTTGGTTGGAGTGTCATCCCCGGTTCGATTCCCAGTCAGGGCACATGCCCAGGCTGCAGTTCAATCCTTGGTCAGGGTGCATGTGGGGAGGCAACCTATCAATGCTTCACTCTCACATCCATGTTTCTCTCTTTCTCCCTTCTCCTGTCCTCCTTCTCTAAAATCAATAAGAGCAGGTCCATGAGTGAGAATATTGATAATAATAAAGACCCATTAGGTAATTACTGTGCGCCAAGCACCATGCCAAGGGCTTCACAGAGTGACAGTAAAATACTTATTTACTGAACACCTACTGTGCTCCAGGTACTATGCTAGGTAACACAATAAAAGCCACATTTATTGGGCCAGAGCTTCATAGGATCATAGTAAGCACATTTATTTACTGAACACTTACTGTATGCCAGGAGAATAATACTGCCAGGGAATAGCAGTAAAAGCCCCATTTCCGTTTATTTGGTACATACTATGTGCATGGTGCTAAGTGCTTCATGGGTTAACAGTAAAGGCATCTATTTACTGAACACCTGTTCTACCAGAGACTCTAGAGACTACCCACATGGCTTACAGCAACCAGGACCACTGCCTCGGCCTCACTTGAAAATGATGCCAATGGCCTGAGCATCATCGTGCACCAGTTAGCCTGCCAAGGACTATACCAGAGGAATGCAAGTGCCTACTGTGTTGATCCTAAATTCAGAGCTTTATAGAGAACACAGCACATATGTAGCACCTACTATGTGCCAAGGTCTTTATAGATCAGAGTTCTGTTTTGAACCCCTACTGTGCATCTGGCACTACACTAAACATTACAGATCAACAGTAAGTCTTATTTCCTGAGCACCTGCAATGGGTGGGCATCATAATAGTCCTCTAAAGATAAAAGTAGCAGTTGCCTTTTATGCAGCACCTACTGTGTGCCAGGCATGGTGCTAGAAGGCTCATTGAAAACCAGTAACAATTCCCTTATATTAAACACTTAGCATGTGCTAGGCACCGTACTAAGGGTCTTGTAGCAGATTAACAGTTCTCACTTCTTAGGCACCTACCGTGTGCCAGGAACTGCTAATGCAGTAACAGCAGTCCCCCTACATGAAGTACCTACTGTATGTCAGCCCTATGCTGAGGGCTTTATTGGATAACGGTAGTAGTTCCCATGTATTAAGCACACCTACTGTGTGCCAGACATGTGCCAAAGGCCTTCTATAAAAATGGTAATAGTTCGTATGGAGCGCTTACTATTTGTACACACAATACCAAGGGCTTTGCAGATAATAACTCATGTTTTGAGCAAAATCCGTGCATCAACACCATGTTAGGCCCTTTCAGACTGACAATGGCTTCCATCTGAGCACCTACGTTTGCCTAGCACCAGGCCAACCTCTTTTAAGACAGGTTGCCCTAGATGGTTTTGCTCAGTGGGTAGAGCGTCCACCTGTGAACTGAAAAGTCCCAGGTTCAATTCTGGTCAAGGGCATATTCCTGTGTTGCAGGCTCGATCCCCTGTAGAGGGTGTGTAGGAGGCAGCCAATCAATGATTCTCTCTTATCATTGATGTTTCTATCTCTCTCTCCCTTCCTCTCTGAAATCAATAAAAATACATTAAAAAAGAAAGCACCACTTATTGAGCAGATTGTATGCCAGACACTGTGTCAAACAAAGGCTTTGCAGAATAGCAGCTTCCATGTTTTAAGTACCTACTGTGCACTTGGCATGAGGTTAACCTTGTGACAAACTGCTAATACCATCCATTCACCGAATGCCAACTGTATGCCCAGCACTGTGACAATCCGTGTTTAGATTTAAAACAGCAGCTGCATATATGAAGCATCTACTGTGTGCTAGGCAATGCACTACAGTGACAGTTCCCACATATTAAGCACCTACTGTGTGTTAAGAGGCTTTATGAAATAACAGTAATAGTCTCCACGGGTTGAGCACCTACAATGGACCAGGCTCTGTGTTATGGGCATTACTGATACTAAACCTCAAGTTCCAGGCACCTTTCCTGACACGCAGCATCCTAAGTCTTTTATAGACTCAAAATGCATCCTACGGATCATACCTCATTTAATACTCATGGCTCTCCTAGGGAGATCTGTCACCCCGATAGCCCATGCCACAGATGGGGAAAGCAGGTTCAAAACACGGCTGCGTAGTTTTCTATTATCCCTGACTGAGTATCTACTGTGTACATAGCCAGGCCCCCATCCATGCTGCTGCTTTTTATAGATCACCTCCCATTTTGCAGAAGAAAAAACTGAGACCAGGAAATGGTTGCCTGCCCAAGGGCACGTGGCAAGGATCTGAGCATGGGCTCAGCTGTTCTCCGCGGACTCTCTCAGCGTAAGGCCGCGAAGACTGACCTCAGCCTGCACCTGCTCTCAGCTCAGGCCAGTGGAGGGTGGCTGGAGCCACACCCCCTCGGCTAGAGGGATCCCCCAAAAGTCACTGGCTTTGCACCGAGCACCTTCCCCATCCTCCAGCCTCCCTGCTCACTGGATATGTGTTTATTGAGTGTCTATGACAGGCACACCCCGTGCTCGGCCCGGGGGTCCAGAGATGAATCGGAAGCCCCATCTTCAAAGCAATCAGGGATTCGGAGGATCCAAGATGGCTGCTCAGGTAGACACCTAACCGCAGCAGCACAAAGCAATCAGGGACTCTAGACACTTGGGGTCCCCTCCCCCATTTCTTGACCAGCCTCCCCAACCAAAAATGCCCAAGGGAATCAGGCAAGAGCAGGGGGGAAAAAATAACCACTCAAGGGATGTGCCGGAAGGAATGGATTCACTGAGAAAGGGGGAGGAAAAATAAAACCAAAACCATAATAAAAAATACAAAACAACGGTGGTTGTGATGGTGATGGTGATAATGAGGAAAACCATAATAAAAGAAGGACGCCTTCCAGAGCACTCCCAGTCTGGTTACCTACCTTCCACTCTTCAACTGCTAACCTACAAGACTTTCTTACGAGGGAGGGAATGGCGGGTGCCGAGCTACCAGGCGAGACCCGGCTCTGGGTGGGTCTCCGGACGCGAGCGGGCCCACAGCCCAGCTCTGGCCCCCCGTGTGGCCGCAGCAGCTCCGGACGGCGCCGATGAGGCGGGCGGGCGGGCGAGACAGTGTCTGGGGAGACCCACGGCCGAGGGGTCTGGCCTCCACCTACCCTGGAGTTCCGCCTAAGCAGCCCGCAGCCCCTGGGACACGCCTGGCCCTGCGTCTCGGCTGTTGTTCTCTCAGGCCCCACCCGTCTCGGGGCGAGAGGTGGAGTCCCTTCTCCCCCGTCCCCGGTCCCCTGTCCTGGGCCGCCCCCGAGGTCCGCGTGGCTGGGCCAAGGCCGCTCTGTGACGACCCTGAGGCCGCCTCCTTCACAATCCAGCCCAACCTGCACAGCGTCTGGGGAGGGGGCGGGTGTGGACGGAAACGCAAACACGGGACTCGGGGCGTCATGAAGACAGAAACGGCGGTGCCTTTGACACGTGTACCAGACACTGTGTGAGGCAGGTAGCGAAAAGCAGCAAGATTTCCGAGCAGCGTGCTTGTTGGCTGCGGGGTGGGTGAATTTGGGGGGTGAACTCGGGCTCTGGACTGTCCGTGCAGCCCAGAGCGGCCGGGCGGGGGGAGCACGCAGGGTGGGCCGTCTTTGTGAACCTGCTTGAGACCAGCGCGTACTCACCTTCTCGGCACCCTGGCCGGTCTCTCACGTGGCCGCCCGAGCCACAGGACACCCTCACTGAGCGCCGCACGCACACACACGCCCGACGCCGCGACCTGCGGCCGCTCGGCTCGGCTCGGCTCGGCACGGAGGGTGGAGGGTGGGGGAGGAAGGCTGTGTGTGGGGGGTGTGTGTGTGCATCTCCAAGGCCTCTGATCCCAGCGGCCCACACCCCGGCCCCGAGGTGCTGTCATTCTGGACTGACTTGCCCGGGTGCACACACCTGGGCGGCTGGAACATCAGAGCAGTGAGGCCGCGTCCAGCACGGGCCTGGGTGGCTAACGCGACTGACTGAGATGCGGGAGGGGCGGAGGCCTCCACGCAGGAGGCCGAGGCGGCGGCGGAGGCGGTGGCGGCGCAGGCCACGCCAAGCCCCGCTGAGCAGAGAGGAGAGAGCAGAGGAGAGAGAGGGAGGCAGGGGCGCAGCAGGAGGGGGCGCGTGGCGGTCCTGGGTTCGGAGGAGGCAGGGAGGGCGGTGCCGGGGGCCACGGCGTGGCCCGGAGCCGGCTCCCCGCTGCAGGGTCCTGGCCAGAAGGGAACTCGCTTGAGACAGGAAGGCCGGGCAGGCACAGCAACGAACGCCGGGAATCTGAGAGCCCTGAGGCGGGCCCTGTGCTATCCCTGACTCTGGCTCCCACCCCTGTCCTCGGTCATGGAGACCCCGTGTTGGGGGAAGGGCCGCCGGGGTGTGGACTGTTACAGCCACACGCACCCCTCTCATTAGCCCCAGATCAGGGAGAGGAAGGGAAAGAGGTGCCCGCAGCAACTCTTCCTGAACGAAGGGCAAAACCCCAAAGCTGGTCCCCGAGACACAGCCACCGGAGCCTGTAGGACATCACGCCCCGGCGGGGAGCGGGAGGGCAGCGCCCGTGGACACGTCGGAGGCCGAGGAGCCGGGCGGGGGTGAGCCGGAGGCGCCCCCCACCCTGCAGCAGGCTGCTCCGGGTGAGTGCACAGAGGCCGTCTGCGCGGGCCGAGGTCCCCCCCGAAGACGGGCGCGGGGTCCGCGAGACACCTACTGGACTGCAGCGTGCGCTGCCGCACCACCGAGGTGAAGGCGCCCAGGCCCTGCGGGGAGCGTGCCGCCAGGCGGAAGGCGTACTCCGTGTTGGGCTTGAGGTCCTCCACCACGAACGCCGTGGCCGGGTCGAAGGTCCTCCCGACCTGGGAGCGGGGCCGGGGCCGGGGCCGGGCGGGGGGAGAGGACAGGAGAAATGGAGACAGAGAGAGACACAGAGAGTCCGACAGAGGAATGCCAACGGAGACATCAACGGGCACACACGGAAAAGCAGGGAGGGGAACAGACGTAACCGACAGAGACACAGGAAGACAGGAGGAGGGACGTGGAGGGGCGCAGGGACGGGCACCCATGCATCACAGAGAGGGAGACACCGGAGAGGAGAGAGAGACAAGCGGGGCGGGGGGCGGGGGCGAGACAGAGATGTAGAGATGGAGAAACAGAAAGGAGAGCGGAGGGAACAGGAGCAACATGGGTGGGGGATGGGGGGTGGGGGCGAAGAGCAGAAGGAGAGAGACGCCGGACGTCAGGGGGGCACGGGAGGAAGTGCCAGCAGGCGGCGCCGGTGAGCGCCCCCCGCCGCCCCCCGCGGCCCTGGTACCTCTCTGCCGTGGTCGCCTTCCCGGAACAGGAGCTCGTACTTGACGATGCTCTCCTGCCGTGGGGGGCTCCAGGAGAGGCCGATGCTCGTCTCGGACCTGGCCTCGGCCCGGAAGTTCATGGGCTGGCCGGGCACTGGGGGAGGCAGAGGAACCGAGATGGGGGCAGGCCCGGGAGGGGTCCACCCCGGGGACCTAGCCTGCCGGGAGCCCGCATGCCCCTCAGAGTCCCGGGGAGCTCAGGCTGCTGGTCTCCGAACGCCTCCCGAAGGTCCTCCCACTGCTCTCACTGCTCCTGTGCCCCCAGGGGAGCCCCACGGCCCTCCTGTTGTCAGCTGTCCACCTCCATTCTCCCGCCCTCTCTGCCTCCGATGGAAAAGCATTTATAAACCCCCTTTCCAATCACCCCCGCCTTCCACGCCCCCCAGATTAAGGGACAGAGAAGGCAGTGGGGACGCTCTTTGGAACCTGCAGCTCCATCCCCTCCTCTCTGTGGGGGCAGTCCCAGCCCTCCCGTCCCTTTGCCCTTTTGCCCGGGCTGCCTCAGTCTTCCTGGAGTTGGGGTTCAGAAAGCCCGAGCCCGTGAGGAAAGTACGAGAAACCGGCAGAGAGCTGGGATCCCACACACCTAGATGGCGCCCCGCCCCCTGCCCCCCAGGCCCTTCCGTCTGAGAGGCCGGAGGCCAGCCCACTGCCTTGGGGTCATTTCGAGAGGCAGCTCTCCAGCGAGAGCCGCGGACTCCGATGCCCGCGGCCCGGCCGGAGGAGCAGCTGGACACGGCCCCCTTTGCTCCGGTGCAGCTGTGGGAGCTACCGGGACGTCTGACCGCAGCCCCGCGGGCTGGCCAAACCAGACTTCCCGACGGAATCCATTACTCCGGACTTCCTGGGACAACCTCCTGCTTTGAAACGCCGGCACAAAGGTATCGTAAAGCGCCGTGTGGCACCAACACACCGCTCCGGGGCGTCTCGGCAAGAACGGCCAGCTGCCTGTCTGCCCCGCTGCCTCCCCCTCTGCCGGGGACCCTGAGTCCTGCCCCCCCACCCCCCGCTGGAAGCCACACCGCCCGCAGGCACCTCACCTCCCTGCTGCGTCTTGACCTGGATGGGGTCGGAGAGGGGCCCGTCGCCCACGGAGGTGAAGGCCAGCACGCGCACGGTGTAGGTCTCGTCCTCCAGCAGGCTGCCCACCGTGGTCAGCAGGCTGTCGTCCACGTTGTGCTTCTGCCAGTTGCCCACGGGGTGCTCGGGCTCCATGGTGTAGTAGATGCGGTAGCCCCGGATCAGGCCGTTGGGCTCCACGGGCTCCTCCCACTGGATGATCATGGTGGTGGCGCTCAGCATGCGGGCCTGCACGTTGCGCGGGGCGCTGGCTGGGGCCTGCTCGCCCGTGCGGGTGACTACCGCCTCGCTGGGCGGGCCCTGGCCGATGGAGTTGACAGCCGACACCCAGATCTCGTACTCGGAGTTGGGGCTCAGGCCCCCGATGCTGTAGCGTGTCGTGGTGATGTCCTCTTTGATCTGGTACGGCCCGTCCTGGCTCTTGGATTTGTACTCGATGACGTAGTAGGACACGGGGTCCGGGTTCCCCGAGTCCCACGTGATGGTGATGCTCGTCGCCGTGTTCTCGGTCACCACCGGCGTCCCGGGGGCTCTGGGGAGAGCTGCGGGTGCGGGCGGGGGCATGGTCACGTGGTGGGCCCGGAAAGCCGTGTGACTCCAGCTCTGAGCCTCGGCTCCCTTGGCAGTGACATCGGGCCTGAGGACCCCTATCCCACCGCCCACTGCGGGGTCAGCAAACGCCGGTCCAAAACCTGCTCTCGCAAATACCATTTTATTGGAGCAGCACTTACTTCTGGCCAATAGCCACCATTCCACGGTGATGGGAGAAATGAGTGGCTGTAGCAGAGGCTACATGGCCCATAAAGCTGAAACCACTTCCTTTAAACAAATATTTGCTGTTTTAAGAAAAGTATTTACGTTGGAAGGAAACACAGCTTTATGTGTTCACTCTGCTCAGCCACAGGGCCTTCCTGTCTATTCCCATTCACACTTGCTATCCCAGGACGGGGAATGCCCCGATGGTCACATGGCCAGCTCCTTCTAAAACCATTCCTTAAGCCCTCCCTCACCACCTAGGCTAGAAGCTACCTTGCCCGGTTCCTGTCACCACACAGGTCATCTCATTTCCACATACGTCTGTCCACCCCACCAGTGGGGTCAGAGTATTGTTTACAACTGTGTCTCAGCACCTGGATAATCGTGGCTCTCTCCACACCGGCCTCAGGAAGCATTCGCCAAGAGTTCAATCCCTCGGCAAAATGACCAACAAACCAGCTGACCTAGGGCTCATTAAACTTTTCCTGCAAAAGCTCAGACGGTAAATACTTTTAGCTTTGCAGGCCTTTGTTGAGACTAAGCTCAGCTTTTGTAGCCAGACAGCTTCCATAGACAAGGCATGAACAAAATGGGGGTGTGTCGATAAAACTTTATTTATGAAAAACAAGTGGAGGGCCAGATTCAGCCTGAGGGCTGCAGTTTGCTAGCCTCTGTTCTAAAGTTAGAAAAAAAAATATTTTGGGTACCTTCCTCCGAATCTCACCACAAACTTGAGACCTAGGGAGAATCTGCTGTCCTCACACCTTGCCCTCCTGATCTCTCAGGCTTTGCATAAGCTATTCCTTTTTTCTTTTTCTTAATATATTTTATTGATTTTTCACAGAGAGGAGGAGAGAGGGATAGAGAGCTAGAAACGTCAATGAGAGAGAAACATCGACCAGCTGCCTCTTGCACACCCCCTACCAGGGATGTGCCCGCAACCAAGGTACATGCCCTTGACTGGAATCAAACCTGGGACCTTTCAGTCCGCAGACTGACGCTCTACCACTGAGCCAAACCGGTTTCGGCAGCTATTCCTTTTCTTAAAACGATGCTCCTTCTCCTTTGGCTTATTCCCCTTCAAGTGAAAGTCTTTCCCGGACCTCACTTTCCTGGGACATGGGGCCTTTCCTCTGGGGGTGTGAATGGGGCTTTGTGGCCCCCATCACAGCCCTCACCAGCCTGTGTCACAGCTACGTGGCTACACAGGTGTTTCCCACTTTGGACTGCGAGGTCCGCAGAGCCAGACCACGCCTCCTTCCACGGGGCAAGCCCAGAATCATGTACAAGCAATAGACGTATGACCACAGAACTCTCCCCTTCAAGGCCACGAACGTCCGAAGCCAAAACGCAGAGGTGTTCCGCCTGGACCCCACCCCCTGCACCAGGATCAGGGGGCCATCTGCCTCCCCTCCCCCCACGTCCCCTGCTTACATTTCACTGTGATCTGGGCCACAGCCTCGATGACGCCCAGGCTGGACATGGCTACGCAGGTGTAGTTGGCAGAGTCCTTGACGTCGGTGAGCTCCAGCACGTTCCGGCCCACGGGCATGTCATCTTCGGGGGTCAGGTCCTCGGCCCCCTGCATCCACTTGACGTAGGGCATGGGCGAGCCCACGGCTACGCAGGTGATGTTCACGTTGCCCCCTGGCATGATCTCGTGGCTCATGGGCAAGATGGAGAACCGAGGAGCCACGCGGCGGACTGGGGGCGGCAGGAGGGAGATGCGTGGGGTTGGGTGTGGGGGGCGGGGAGACAGAATGCAGAGGGGAGAAGCCAGAAAAGCAAGAAGAAAGATAGAAAGGGAGGAAGGAAAGAAAGAAAAAAAAAGGGGGGGGGAAAGTGGAAAACAATTTAAATATAAACAGGGCTGTTTCCTTTCCCCCAGTTGAATTTTTTTAAAAATTCCAAATGAAAAGAAAACAAAGAAACCAAATTAAAGAACCAAATTCCAACACAAAGAAACCAAAAACTTCAAAGGAAGGTACTCCACAAACAATAGAGATATATCGATATATAATCAGAGACATGAAGCATTATTCCATAGCAACAGGGTTTCAGAGACCAGAGGGGACTGGTCACAGCACAGTTACGAACACAAAAATTTATCAGCTGTTTCTCATCTTTGATGACAGAGGTGGCTGCAGGGGGCTGACCCTCCACTCGCTCTCCCAAGTGGGGAGCTTCGGAGGGTCCTGGCTGCATGTGGGGGGCTCTGGGAAGGACAGGATGAAGAGGGGGGTCAGGGGAGAGTTGGAACCAGGCGGTACAGGGGGGCCGGGAATCTCAGCCCCCCCCCCTTCCCCTGGGTGATGAGGGCCCCGCCCACTTCCCCGGGGGCCCTCCAGGAAAAGATGAGAAACTCTAATGAAATTTTTGTGGTTTTTGGGTATAGAAACCCTTCTAAAAGCTTCTGTCGGATCTCACAAGTTTCCATTGATAAATGCAGCTCTCAGAGTCACAAACAGCATGCAAAAGAGATTGGTTGAGAGAGAGAGAGAGAGAGAGAGAGAGAGAGGAAGAGAAAAGAAGAGAAAAGAGAAGAGAAGAGAAAAGAGAAGAGAAGAGAAGAGAAAAAGAGAGAGAGGCAGGAAGAGGAACGGAGAGAGAGCTAATGCATGGGAGAGGCCTGGATCTCAGGGGCCTTAGTGCATACACTCATGTGGGTGCCAGAGAGGAGAGACAGGGGAGGCAAGAGAGAGAGAGAGAACACAGGGAGAGGGACAGAGAGAGGGAGGGAGAGACAGAGAGAGGAGCAGGAGGGAGGGGGCCCACTTCAATGCTGCATGTTAATTCTAGCGGATGTGACCCAATGTGACACGCCACATTGTCACATCCCAGCCCTGGCAGAGTACAACAACAACGATAATAATAATAATAATAATAATAATAATAATAATAATAATAAACGTGGGGGCATGAACTTGAACGCTGAGAAAAAACAGGGACATGTTCTGTGCGTTTCTGAGCAGGGAAGCGGATGCAGCCTTTGGTCTCCATCTCGTAGACCACAAAGGCAGCAGGACGCGTTTCGGGGGCTCCGTTTTCAGAAGTTGGACGGGTTTCTGGGCTGGGGTGTGGGAGGAGGAAGGGGTTCATGCTCACGGGCACCTGAACTTCCAAATGGCTTGCTGCCCCTTGGGGAGGCGTACGCCTGGTAAATCCTTCTAGCCAGAAAGAGCTCATCCCTGGCTATGGCCTGGGGCCTTGGAGGCCACGTGGGCAGGTTCCCAGCCCGGGGAGGGGCCAAGGAGCCTCTTCTCTAACTGTGAGGAGGACAGAATAGAGTCTTCAAAGGGCCACGTGACTGTCAGCGTTCCAACCTGCCTCTCATTTCCCTGTGGTGAAGGGGTACAGCTGCCCCCTAAGAGGGTGCTGGCTGGTAGGAGGTGTAGCCTGCTCTACAGAGGAGGGGGCTGTAGGGGGTAAAGGGAGGCAGCCTGGTTCCTTCTCTTGCAGCCTGGGTTCCTAGCGGAAACCCCAACCCCTGTTTTCTGAACCCCTGAATGGAGGCAGAGAGAAGGGGGCAGCTCCTTGGGGGCAGGGAGGAAGGAGGGCCAAGATGCTGACAACCCTTCGGAAAAGGAAGCCCCACGAAAAGTCCAGAGTCGCACTGGAGACAGGATGGAGGACGGGGAAGGCATCCCCCGAGGGGAGGAGTGGGGGCAGGGCAGGGAGGGGAGACAGAGGGGCCATGCTGACAGACAGACAGACAGACAGACAGACGGGGGTGTGATGGGTGGGGCTCTGAGATGGGGGGCAGCTCTCTGGCAGGGCTGGGCGGAGGGTGAGGGGAGTTGGAAGAAGAGAATGGGGTCCGGCCAGCCAGCGGACGTGGTCCAGGCCAGCCACCGCCACCAGCATCCACAGCGAGGCATACGAGTGGGATGCCCGATGCTGCGTTGTCATGGAAACGGAACACGATGGGGGATGAGCGCGGGAGCTAATTAATCAAGGACAGAAAACAGCATCGACGTCCAAACCAGGAGAAACTAATGAAGACACAAAGCGGGGGGAGAAAAAAGGGAAAAATCCAAAAACACCAACCAAACGAAAAAAATTCTTCCAAAACAGAACACCCAAAAGCAAGGAGAAAAACAACAACAACAACAACATGGAATGGGTGCGGGGCTGAAAATCGGGGTCTGAAAGGAGGAGGGCTGTGGCTTCCCTGGGGAGGGGCCCCCCACCCCTGGCAGAACACAGGGTCTGGCCCCCCTGCCCAGCACAGAGAGCCTCAGCGCCACGAGGCGACACCCTCACAGAGAAAGAACCTTCGGGGCAAACCAGCCAGGCCCCGCGGGGTCCCCTCTACAAAACCGTTCTCGGCTCACCTCTCGGGTAGGACCAGACCCTCATGGCACAGGAAGACCCACCCTCGGGGCCCCTGGGGCCGAGGTGGGGGCACTGCGGTGGCTGCAGAGCCCTGTGGCCTGGGGAAGGCCCCTCCTCCTCCCGAGCCTCCGTGTCCCCATCTGTGACCTCCTGAGGCCACTGGGCGGCCTGGGACCGTGCCTCGGACAGAGCTCCGTTTCCTGCTGGGCTCCCGGGCTGTGGGAGACCCACGCGGTTCTCTCCTTTGGGGGAGTCTGGGGATGGACTGGAATGAAAGCGTTTAAAAAAGGAAACAGTAAGACTTTCTACTGAATCCCTATCTCGCTGGATCCCAACCACACTGCAAGGCCGATGTTCTGATGCCCGCTGTGGAGGAGGGTGTGGCGGCTCGGAGAGGGGCTGGGGCTAAGCTGGGAGACACCAGGGAAGTGGCCGGCCGGAGGTCCAAGCCAGGCATGCCCGGCCCCTGCCTCGGAGACAGCGAGGCAGCGAGCCTTCTCTCCTGTCCCCGTGGGAGGGAGCAGGATCACAGCCAGGTGTCCCTTCTTGGCACTTGGCTCTTTGAGCCTTGTGTGTCCTTACCCACTGAGGACACCAAAGAGGGCAAAGGCACCCGTCCCCTACGCACAGCTGTCCACTGGGAGGTGCCCAGCGAACACCCATTGGATAATAACCAACAGCCATCGTAACAAGTGCCCAGCGCCTTCAGTAAAAGGCTTACCGTACGGAAAGGGATTGCCGGGACATCAAAGGGCGCTAAGCGCTAGCTTTAGAATTTAAAGATTAAGCGAGAGCCCCATTTATCCCTCGGTAAGGCTCAGCATCCCACCCAAAAGACCCTGTTCACATCGGATCTTAAAATACCTCCCCTCACGCCCAGCTGGCGTGGTGCAGTGGTTGAGCATCCACCTATGTGCCAGGACAGGGTTCGATTCCTGGTCGGGGCACCTACGTGGGTGGCAGGCTCGATCCCCAGTGGGGGGCATGCAGCAGGCAGCCAATCAATGATCCTCTCTCAGCACTGATGCTTCTGTCTCTCTCCCTGTCCCTTCCTCTCTGAAATCAATTAAAAAAAAATTTTTTTTTAAATAAATCTTCCCTCAGGAAGTATCACCATTTGGAAAGTACCTTTCTCCCAGACAAGGCATACCTCTTGAATATGCAAAAGCCTTGCTGGATGAGGCTGTTAACTGTACGTCAGCTCAATGTGGGAGGGCATTTATCAACCACAGTGATTTTAGAGCCCAGAATCCCCAACATGGCCAGCAGCCATCGGTTAGAGGGACCTGCCTGCCAATAGCGGTAAAAGCTGACGCCCAAGACACTTTGCCCACTTGCTTTCTCACCACCCCATCCTCTCCTGAGGGCGGGCCGCGGGAAGAGGGCTGGTTTGCCACGAGTTCGGGGAGGACTCCGCCCTTCGAACACCGGGTTCCCGGGCGTCCTCCCAGCTGGCAAGGCCGGGCGGCTGACCCTGTGCTCTGCCCCGTTTGGTGCTGACACCCACCCGCGTCATCTCTCCACCCCCGGCTGCGAGACTGAGGTGCGGGCGAGAAAGTCAGGTGGGCGCGGAGCCCACGGGACAGGGTGGCCCCGCGGGACCCCCGCCCCCAATTACCGACCTGAATGGAGGGTCCAGGCGGGTTATAAGGGGACCACACCAGCCTTGGTCCTCAGCACGCTCCAGCTGGCTCTCGTTTCCAGCTCTTCTCATCACCGAGTAGCCGGGGGTCCCAGCGGGGGGGACCCGCGGGGTGAGGGGTCGGGAAGGTGGGCGGTGGGGGTGGGGGGGGTGGCGGGTTCGGGAGGGGGTGGGTCGCTTCAAACCCCGATTCACATGGAAAAACAACTCAAAAACCATCAAAGCAACCGGGAGACGACCCCTCCCCCAAGCAGGAAGAGGCAGAAACTCAAAAACCAAAAGTGGGGTTCAGGGGAGGGAAGGGTGGGGGAGAGGGGGAGGGGGAAACTCAAAAGTGAGGTGATCTGGTTGAAGCACTAGGTAGGGCACTCGACAGTGTCAGACATCCCAATGGTTCAGCAAGCCGCAGCTCCGAGGGGTGGGGGTGGGGCTCTGCCGGGCATTTTGGGGTGCGAGAAGCTCCTGGATGCTCCTCCGGACCCCAAAATGAGGATGAGGGCGGGGAGGGCAGGGGAGAGATGCCAAAAGTTCTGCAGCCTCCACGCGCTGAAGCTTAGATTACACCTGTCAGGGGAAGGGGGGGCTCCGAGGCCTGATTTCAAATCCCGCTCCTCAGCCCCTGCATTGAACCTCGGCCTGTAGCCCAGGGAGGGTGGGTACCGCCGCCTGCCCTAGGCCCCTCCTCCCCAACTCCCCACCCTCCTGCCTCTCTCCTCCCTCCACCAGC